CGGATTCGAAAAGCTCGTTTGGCTTTCGCCAACTTCACCTTGGCGAAGGCGAGATATCCGTCTGTCAATAAAAGGACGAGTATACTTCACGGCAGTTCGTTCTGTTTTACTTTACGGCAGCGAAACATGGCCATTAAGAGTAGAAGATACTCGTAAGCTACTAGTATTTGACCACAGATGCCTAAGAAATATTGCTTGCATGTGCTGGGATCACCGGGTAAGTAATAGTGAGGTTAGACACGGTATCAAGGAATGATGGTAAACCAATTGATGAGGTTGTGAATCTTCATCGACTGAGATGGTTGGGCCACGTGTTACGTGTGCCTGAACACCGATTACCACGACGTGCAATGCTAACCGGTGTTGGGGATGGTTGGAAGAAAGTTAGGGGCGGCCAAACCAAAACGTGGCATCAGTGCTTGAAGACACTAACATCTGGTCTGAGCCATGTTGGTAGATGCAGACTACTTGATTGGGGTCCGCGTGACTATCGTAACCAATGGTTGGAGACTGTGTTTGACATGGGTCAGATTCGATTACAATTGCGTAGGTATATACACTCTCTTTCTTCCCTTAAACCAAGAGATTAAAATCGCTTCATATCTTTCTACGTACTAAATCTTTTTCCTGTACTATATTCTTATTGCAATCTTTCTTTTATATATTACCACCATTGACTTAACCATTCCTATGAATCCGGTGTTCATCTTGCTGTGCTAATGCGGTATGGCAACTTGGACCGATGCATATATGTGCTTGGTCCTACGTTGTAGCTAACTGACTGACTCAGCCACTCTAGACCAGTCAGTCAGTCAGTAATCACATTATTTAAGTCTTCCTGAGGTGCGCGTCTCCGGTTATTACTCGCCAGATTTTTACATCGTCAGCGTATTATAACATTGGCGACTATACTATACTTGGGAGATTATTTACATACAGTATAAAAAGTAAAGGACCTAGGACGGAACCTTGAGGTACTCCACTAGTTACTGGTCTCCAGGTGGAGCACTTGGAATTTATTCTTACTTTCTGTCTACGACCTACTAGGAAAGCCCTAGACCATTTTAAAAGAGGTCCGGCAATACCAAGATTTTCTAAGTTCAATAGCAGTCTATTTGTTGGCACCTTGTCAAAAGCCTTACTGAAGTCTATGTAGATAACATCTACCGAGTTTCCGTTGTCCAGCACTTTTATCTAATATTCTCTTGCTGTGAGGAAGTTTGTTGTATAAGATAAACCCTTTCTGAAATCATGTTGTTTAACGGGTTGTTGGTTTCCACAAATGTCATTATGGCCTTTTTGACTATTCTTCCCAATATTTTAACTACAACCCTGTTGAGGCTTACAGGTCTGTAGTTCGATGGAAGTTGTCTTGGTCCTGTTTTATGTATGGGAGTGACGATTGCGTCCTTCCAGTCCATAGGTAACACACATTAGTCAAGTGACATATTGAATATCACAATCAGTGGGGCCGCGATATATTGTGCAATATGCCTCAAGATTTTGGGGTGTAGTTCATCTGGTCCTGTTGACTTTTCCATGTTTAAGGTGATAATAGCCTTAAGCATATAGTCTTGATCGAAGTCCACGGTGAGTAGGTGGTTTGTTGACCTTTATTTTTGTCTGGTTCTTTGTCTAGAGGAGGTTCCTGAGTGAAAACTGCCCCGAAATAGTCAGCCATAGACTTTACTTTTTCCTGATCTTCCTCTATCATTTCAGATTCATTCCTTTCTTTAATTAGGTTGGGAATCCAATGATGCATCCTTGTTCTGTAGTTTATGTATGAGAATGTTCTCTTAGGCTGCTTGAGTGCAGATTGTGCCAACTGTATTTCATGTTTTTTTCAGCTTCCTGAATTTGAATTATACACGTGTTTCTTACCGATCTGTAGCGTTCCATCGTACTTGCTGTGCTAAGACTGATAGCAACGTTCCAACATTTCTTCTTTTGTCTTAGTAAACGTCGAATATCCCAGCGTATCCAGGGAAGACCGTGCTTCTTCCTCTTTGGAACTGTCCAGGGTATGTATGGTTGAGTTACCCGATTGTATAACTGCCCGAAATAAGTTCATGCCTCTTGTACTGAAGCCCTTGAGTCAATTTCCCAGTTTTCAGCCGATGATGCAGAGTTGATTGCCTTCCATATATTAGGACAGGCCGGCGCAACTGTTTGACAGGCAATCTCAGCCATGAATTTGAATAACATGACTGCATGGTTACTTCCCCTAATGGTGGGACATACTAGTGTTAGCAGTCAGCTTGATGAGATTGCTGACTAAGCGTTTGTAACTCAAGACACAGTTTCTGATTACTTAGTTGCCTAAAACCTGGTAAGTCCGTGAATTCAGATGAGTTAGATCTTAGAATACTGGTATCGCTCGAGGACACGATTTTTAGAACCATTCATACAATTATTCAGTATATCTTCCTGAACTAAACTCTCAAGGATTTGGAAGGTTGCTGTCCGTTACCCCTAGTTTTAGGAATGTAAATACTAATATCTAATTACCATCATTTTAGCCTAATCAGGATATTGGGTAGTGTCAAAGAGAATAATTCCTGGTAAATTACTTGGTCATTTGGAATTACAAAATTGTTAACTCCAGAGCAAGACGGTTTTCATAAAAGATGTTTGACTGACATATTCACTGAGAAGGATGATGGTAGTAGTTCAAGATAGCAATATATATGTCTATTTACTCATCTTTGAATAATAATATTGTAATTTGGCAGAAACGTAGATTCTTCACAGGAACGATATCGCTTAGCGCAACTTTCGAAGTGTTTGATGAAGATACTTTAAAAACGATACGTAACAGAAGTATTACAACTAGGTGATTGTTAATTTATAGCCCGTGAAAGCCCAAACATTCGAGTTTTCTTTATTGGTAGACATTTAACCACTTTACTTACCAACCTTTTTAATAGGGGAAAATGTAAAGACGTTGATATTTGTTATACTTTTTTATTCTAGACCCCAGAAAATAATTTCAACAAACAAACGTTCTAATTTTTTTTATATTTCATATGTGATTGGGATTTATCACGATTCTTATTGACTTATCGTTTTGAATTGTCTACAATGATTAGTAGACTTGACTAATTGAAATAAGACAACTTAAATTTTCCATCCTTTATCTCTGATAATGGAAAATTATTGCGTAATGAGGATTTACTGTTAACACCGCATTTATTTGGTGACTTGTATAACTTCAGAAAGTGGGAGGTTTGTTGAGCTAATGTCTTTCCAAGGATCATAATACTTGCATATAATTTTCTTCGAGGAATGTAAGTAGTCAGTAGTGTTTATAACACTATTACCAGAATGTCTTGTCATATAGAAGTTAAGTGAAAAATCACTTTCTTTGCTGAAGGCACCATACATTTCGCATTATTGATTTCCCTCATTACTCTACTCATTTTTATTTGTTTATGAATGATTAGTTGCATGGGTTTGATTGCAGAGAAAATATCTTCATTCATGGATCAGTGAATCTCAGTGACTACATACGAGTTTGTCTCCCATGTTATAAGTTAATGATCCTGGGTGACTCCCAAATCGTAGTAAAAGTTCGATTAAAGCTTATGAACTATTTTTTCAAAAAATCGTTCGTTCAGTCAGCGATCGAATTTTTATTTCTGTGTTGTCATCTTTCTAAGCCCCAATAAATGAGGGTTGAGCTGTTTGACGAGACTTGATCTTCATAGCTGTTGTCCTCGAAAGGGTCATAGTCTATAGTTACTAAAGAGATTGTATAACTCAAAGTTCTATTGCGAAGATGCAGGTGTATTAATTTTGTGTCATGTTAACATCAAACATTGTGCCTTCCCGTGCCCTTAATCTCATATTTTACTTGTTTTTTTTTTGGAAACGGATGTGAAGAGTAACACAAATAGAGCTATACATAAACGCACCAAGTCCTTGTTTCTGTTGAACAAGTCATCTGAAGCTTAAGAATCTAAATTAAGTTTTAAATAAATATTCTAACTATATCTGTTCTGGTTGTTCTGTATCGTATGAACCTTACATTTTTCTGTATATGAAAGAATAGTTGTACTTGTAAATTTAATAATCAAAATCTAGAAAAGCAAATCGAATCTGTTTACAATATTGATTATTTAAAATGTTAATTCTAAACACAGAAGAGTGAACTATAAATGAGGTCCCGAAAGTTAAAAGGTTTGAAAACTGTATATAGTCGTTTATTACGATTGAAAAAAGATAACTGGTCAGTTTTTGAAATTATCCCAGTGTAAATTTCTGCTCTTGATTAGGTACCACTGCTTTCTAACCAGTCAGTAATAAGTGATGTAAAACCTGACACGTCCAATGGTTCGAATTACCACATCACATCAGCACATCCAAATGGCATTACCAGGATAAATACCAAAGTAGCAAAAGTAAAAGCAGTATCAGTTGTAGTAGAAAAAAATGGACAATATAATCCAAGAACAAGAAAGAAACTCGTGGGTTAGAAAGTATGAGATAACTTCAAATCTCAAGATCTAAGTAGAGTTAGGGAGTGGATAGATTTGAGCTATCGTGACTAACTCTGAGTCGTGTCACCTAACGTATCCAAACTCTAGTCGCAGTTATTTCTTGAACTCTAACCAGGTAGTCTGCACAGACCAACAGTGCATGACTTTATGGACCAATATGTTTTCCTTTTTGGCTGTCTCTAGTTTTTTCTTTCAATCTACTACGTCAACTAATACCACATCTTAAAATAGGCGCTGGTTAAGAATATGCAGTACATGTCTCAGCCACATCAGTCATTAGGAGCTCAACGTTTTCTCAACCAATTTGTCATTTTTGGTTATTACTCTGCTCTTAATTCCTATATCACTCACTAAATGATCCCAACATACGGGAGCAAAGCTTCAAATATACTGTGGTCGAATTGTAGTAACCTACAAACTCATTCTAATTTTAAGGCCATTCCTAATAGCAGTTTCGATAAACTATCAGTTCATATTCTGTTTATCAAATCAATTAAGAACATTTAATAGTGATAGATTATTACTTGTCAATTTTTAAAAAAAGTAAACTAACTTAAATTATAAGTTTTTAGATAAATTGTTTATATAAAATATCAATTTAGTGGGTTGTAACCAGGTATCGATTACATGGTTCTAAGTAAGTGGTTACACAAAAAGAGGGGCTGTTGATAATATTTAAGAAATACATAAGAATAAACAGCAGGCGTAAGTGTCACTAACCGAGGAGTCCAAAGGTTAATGGCAAGTAGCATCAATGCTAACCAAGACTTCTAAGTTAAGACATCTTTTATAATGGTAATGCCAATTAGATAAGGGAAATTAAAGGATGTTTTGTAAATTCACATGCGAAATATGTTTAAACCTAAGGGTCATCGTAAAAAGAGATCTGATAAAACTTTTGTATAAATAAATCAGATTTTAAGCTATGGGTAATGATATAAAACAGTAACTAACCGATTTACTAAGTACGTGGGTATGAGTCGCACTCTAATTGCTAAGGCCAGTGGTTCCAACCGTTTTCTCGAACCGTGATAGGTGGGGTGGGGTTCGAATCATAGACCTAGTAACTGAGAGCCAAATGCCTTAACCACTGTATACCACTCCAAATTTCATGATGAATTCGAGGTCGAATACCTTGAATCTACTACATGTTACACAACAGAAGTAACTAATCTGTGTTGTCCTTATATATCCTATCGGATTGTAAGTAAGGAGTCACAGTTCCTTAAAATTTATCCATAGTTAGGTTGAAGGATGTGAGATATTATGACTTTATCGTAAATTGTTCCCTACTAGCCATCCTACCAACGTTTCGTCAACTTTGATGCAGGTGAAATTACTGATGTTCCGTGTATGTATAATTTGAAAATTCTAGCAACTATTATCATTGTTTTATTCTCAATTGTCTTTCAGATGTTTCCTGTGTTTCATTCCTTTTACCCCTCCCAAAGGATTATTGATGACCTTTCTTTGTTGTTTCGTCTTCCTTGTGGCTGTAACCTGATTTACCGATTTCCGGATAAAAGTAGTCTCATAAATTGTCTAACTTCTTACCCAGTAATTGTAAATATAAATCAGGATCCGATATTACTGTCGTCACATGAGTCAGTCCCTGCATGGATTGAAGTTAAACACAGTCGAAACATATCCTTATCGTTTTGGTTTGCCATGACAGTACTTTGGATGTTAGTTTGTTGTTCAGTCGGTTTTATTGCAGGGGTAAGTACTTTATATATATATATATATATATATATATATATATATATATATATATATATATATATATATATATATATATATATATATATAAAAAGAGTTATAAACATAACATTTGACACAGATGTATGTCTTTCCAAGTCCCTACAACCCTCGTCTGGACAGGGGTAAAGGACACTTTGATGGTGTTGTGTTTTCTGAGATAGATGGTTTAGATACAGAGCTTTTGTTATCATTTTGAACATTTTCAGCACCTACTTCATATAAAGTGGGTGTTCCACAAATTCTCTGGTAGTCGACGTTTCTCTACTTGAATTTACAGCTATGACTGTTTACATGCATCAATAGTAATGATAACATATCTTGTCGCCTCATTGATAATCTATGTTCATTTATGCGTAAGTGAATTGAACACCCAGTTTTTCCAGTGTAAAATTTATTAAGCCTAGTTCAATTTATTCTGTGAATGATGATAGGATAACTAGAAGACTCGCTTCTAAATCAAGCAGTTACTGAGGTTGTTATTTTGAATAACAATGAAAGCTCCGTAACTAAACCATCTAGCTTAGAAAACGTAACACCACCGATCGCGTCTACCTGAGTTACAAGTCTTCCCCATCATTTCAGAAAGGAAATCATTAAGACTAAAAACTAAAGGATGGAAAATAATTTCACGTTAAAGTTAGGCACGATGAAGATGATTGGAAGGGAATGAGTGAGATCAAAGATGCAACCGATTTCGGGTCATTTCACCTAACGTCTCCCAACATTGGTCACGAGTATTGCACGGGTGTTAACCAGGTATTTTGTACCTACCATTATAACTCTGATTAGCAGCCACTGACTATGTTTAAAAAGGTTCGCCGTTATTCACTTGGGCCTAAATTAATGTAATTGTATTCACTTTACTCAAAATTCCTACTTCGTGATACATTCGGAAATTCTTGTTAAAAGGTTGGCGTTAGTACTTGCTTTAATATGATCATAATACTGTAAATTTTTCATAAATTAGAGTTTCGATCATATGATGAACAGTCTTTTGATTGCTAAAATCAATGTGTAGATTGATGTTCTCGATAGATGTTACATAACGATACGAAGTGTGGTCGAGTGACGTTTGCTCACGAGATCAGAGTAACTCACACAAATCCTCCGAATGAACTGAGTTTTAATAATAAAATCACTTACCAGAAAAATAGGCTTTTTCTTCTTGATAAAATGACATACTTCTATATAAAATGACACAAAAGTTAATGTGGTTAAATATCATAGGCGATAACAGGAAATCAATTTGTACATCACTCATTATTCAATCAGTCAACTCCTGATTTATAGGCGCAATTTTCGCTCGTCATATCAAAACGATATTCACAATTATCGTTAAATTCACTCTCTCAGTTTCCGTTTATGTATCAGTAGACGACCATAGCATCTCAATTTTCTAAACACTTCGCAAATGGCTTTATTTTCATCAAATGTTTTCATTTTAATTTCTTTCATTCATATTCATATGTTTTTTCTCTCTCTTTTCAGTCGTACTTTGTCCAGTTAATCTTGTTTTCCTCTGCCATTATTTTCATTTATATGCATTTACGTAATACCGTTACCGAAGGTAAGTAGTTCCAACCATAAATTCCAACTTATCTGGTAATTTTTCTAAATTACACCTGTTCCATTAGGGGATATATTCAACAAATGTTAAACTACAGTGTATTTTGTTACTTAGTTCAAAGCAATCGACAATAAGCCATGAACTCGAGGTTTGGTGCTACTTTTGACTCATCAGCAGGGCATATCTGCAGTCTTGAAAAAAAATTGATGCTTCTAGTGGAATTTAAACTCCTTTCACCCAGTGACACACTATATAATACACCACTGAGCTGTTCGGGCTATCAAGTGTGGCCACCTTTAAGACTACTCTATTTACACTGATTAACTACTATTGTTGATACAGTCCGCAAACAAAATTTGCAGAATAAAATGAATTGATTTTGTTTCACGAATTCTTACCAGCCGCGATCAAGTCATATAATGATAAACATACTTTTGTTAGTGAAGTTCAAATAGATGTTCGACAAAAGACCGGAAATCATAACATGAACAGAACTAAAAATCTATGATTAACCTTAGTTAAGATTGATGCGTGTTTACATATTGAGACGACTGTAACGCAGGGTATAGAAGATGACTTTACAGCTATTATTAATAACAAATGGATCTCATATTTATAATGAAAATAATGAATAATTACGTAATTAATCAACATAATTGAAACTGAAATCAAATTGATATGTAAGCATTAATGGGATTACGTAAAAGTTTATTTGATGACAGTCAGTCAGTCAGCTACAACGTAGGACCAGGTACATATGTGCATCGGTCTAGGTTGCCATACCTCATTAGCACAGCAAGATGAACACCGGATTCATAGGAGTGGTTAGGTCAAAAGTGGTAATATATAGGAGAAAGATTGCAATAAGGATATTGTCTAGGAAGAAAGAATTAGTTAGTAGAAAGAAAGATATGAAGTGATTTGATGACAACTATAGCTGTAGAACCCTCTTTAATTCTGTTACAAATAGTTTTAATTGTGCGTAGATTTTTGTCCCATAACTAGTATATCACCCCAAAATGTCCTGGTACGGTCGAGAGTGGGGAGAGTCCGCTCTTCCTCTCGAAATGCTTTCACATGGCCACGCGTATATAGCCTCTACCAGGGAAGTCCTACTCACTACCTTCTCGTGGCGGGGGCGTTGTTTACGAAATTGAGAGGACGAAAAGCGAATGTCCGGCGCTGTAATCGGATTTTAAACCAATGGTGCACATGGGCTCCAGTATCATGCAGGAACAAATGGCGTATGAACCAATTGTTGGTCACCGGCTTCCATGGGACTGCATCTCCTTACGATGCTCCACTGCCTTGTGGATCAGACCTTCAGGTCGAAGGCTCGGGGAGTGGCCCCCTAAGAAAACCACCTGCTTCGGTTCGGGCACCCGGGCAGTATCACAGCCCTCACACATATCACATGGGATTTGTGTGGCGCATATGTATTTGGTGCCTCCTTGTACCAATGTCTATGTGTTAAAATAAATAAATAAATGACAGAAAGGCTTACCACTCCTTCGTTCAGTACACATAGATCTAATCCAGGACGTTCAATAGTGATTACCTCTGTCTAAGGAATAAAATCGATGTTGATTGTTTGTTAATTATTTTGAACGCGTGACTAATGTCAACTGTTTGTCCACTATGTCTATCAGGGGTTTAGCTAGTGCACTTATGAAGAGCCTACTGCTTTTCAGACAAAGGTTTCTAAAAATATGTTACATATACTTGCCACCGTAAGTACATGTAAGCTTGTAAATCCAATTGTAGGTGACGCTAGAAGACTACTACGTATTATTCTACTGATTGATATTTTTTCCGTTTTTCACAGAATCTCTTCTACTCATATCTGGATATGGTTTACAAACATCAAATCGTTACTTTACTGGTCGACGAACATATTCTTCATTTATTCCAGTAGAACGGATTAAAGGATTTCATTTAATAGATTCCGTCAGTCCATTTACTATTTGTACTTATTTAAGTTGTGAATTTGCCAAGGTCACTTCTACTTCTACTACTACTACAACTGATCCACGGAAAACTGAATCATTATTATTCAATAAAGCTACAACGGCATTAAAGACAGATTACGGTCTTCTACCATTAATGCCCATCACTATGGATAATAAACAAATTCGATTTAAAGGTTGTGATCGTATTCCATTGCCTTATCTTGTATGGATGTTACGTTTAGCGAATACAGTTTTATTTCATTAAATTTCTATGTCGTTAATATCATTCTTTTTTCAATTTTGTTTTGGAAAAAACTGTATTCCTTTAGTTACTGTTTACTTTTCAATCGTTTTTTAAATAACCCTTAGTTGTTCTACGGATTAAGCTTATGTTTTATAGTACATTTTCTCGTCATGAATTCAACTTGCGAAATAAATGTAACTAATCGAGAAACTGAATTAACAATAGTATTCTTCTAATCCTTTTGGAGTTGAACATGGGTAAGGTACTTCTTGATTGTGTATGAGAAGTTTATTACCGCCTTCAAGATGCTGTACAAAATCAATTTCCCAACTAGAAGAAATTGAGTTTATATACTCTTTTTAGACGTCTTGTTGACACAAGGACCTGATCCGACAATGGAGAGAATTATTGGTTGTAAACTAACCACTAAGCCAATATACCCATTTTTAAAGCTTTGTTTGGCTGCAGTATAGGCAAGATTTAGTTGAATGCTTAGTTCGTAGAGCTAAAGTTATTTACTCTGAAGGATTTTCAAGGAGGAACTAAAATTTTTCTGTGATCTATTATTGAGTAATAATAAACGTCCGTCAAAGTTCTAAACAACGTCTATCTCTGTGATAAAAACTGAGATAAAATCATAAACTACCGAAAAAACTTTACAGCTCAAAATTGGTGAAGTCAGTAAAACAGTGGTATAATGTATATGAAAGCCCTTACAACAAGCACTCAATATAGTAAGATAATGGCCCTTCTCCAGCCTCCCAGCAGTGAGACTACGAAATGAATATAGACTACCTAGTTCTACGGGATTATGAGTAAGTAGAAGTCACTGATTGTGTCCGTTTGCGTTGCTGGGTTTCATAGGAAGCTACGGCTACACTATTCTGATTAGTATCATCTTAAAGAACTATTACTGGGTTTAAAACCTTGCCAATTACGTTTAATCGATCCTCTTTTGTGAAAATTCTACGTCAGCCCATGTATGATGAACGAAAAAAAAACAAATAGTTTTGCTATGCTATACCCCATTGAATATTCATCATGAAGATAGATGAAGGAATTGTAATCGGAAAAAGGTTCTGCGTAGTAAGATTAAATGCTGAAATTAAGATGAATTGTAATCAATCGAATTATGAAAAGAGAAACAAATCAGTTGGGAGTAAAAGTTATGTTCAGAAGAAGATAAAAGGGAAGCAGATGGCTGCGAGAGAAAAAAAGGAAAGTTTTTTCAAGAGGTCAGTGGGTTGTGAAGTTTCTTCTATACATGTAATTCTGCTTTCTTTAGATGTTTAGGAAGTGATGCAGCAATGCTAAAAAGATGGAAGGTAACTAAATTTGACGTTTCCTACTCACCTTGTAGGCGACTTTGAACGCATAGCCCGCTTTGGTCGAATGACCTGTGTTCACAAGGTATTTGATTATTGAGCTCCTAATTAACTTATTTCCGCCTCTTCTCAGTCAAGCCCGGTAGTGTTCGCGAATTTTTTCGAGTAAAATACTATTCGACCGACCTGTATACCTGGCCCAACATGAACAAAGGAATTGATAAGTGCACAGGAAATCGGTCAAATGACAATTTATCCTTTAGATTACTAGTGACCATAGGCCGACTGGGGAACGCTAGTTGCGAAGTTGCTGCGGGGAAAGTTCTGTTGAGTGGGTCAGAGATTCTCCTCTTAGGGATGTCTGAAGCTATAAGTGGTATTTGTACTCACCAACCAACATGTTGGCTACATACCTCGACAATCATTACAAGATAAAGATGTTAATACTGTAGACTATCTGTTAGTAAAATCTTTACCGGTGAGACATCCAGATCTCATTACAGCAACTCGTCAATACTTTGAATGTATACTGTGCCATATGAAGAGGTTGGAATACCAATCTGAAACGTAGTTTCTTGTGTATCTTCCAAAACAGGATGAGTTATCTACTACTCCTGATGGTACTTTGTGTCTGAATGATCGTGCATTTATTCCTTTCTTATAACGTAAATCTATCCTTGGAGATCTTCATAGTGGACAATTGGATGCTGAATGACATCCTTGACAAGGCTCACATGTTAGTGGCCGGAGATAAATACTGACATATATCGTACAGGAAATCATTGTGGAAAATATCGTAAATTGGAAAATCATCCTTCGCAACGGATTCTATGGCCATTATCGTCTGAGGCCTGGCAGAGAATTTATGCAGACTATTGTAGTCCATTTCTCTGCAAATACTATGCATTTGTTATCAATGCTTCTCTCAAGTGGCCTGAAGTTTCTTTCACAACTTCACCATATTCTGACTTCTTAATCCAGGCATTAAGAAAAGTTTTCAGTCGGTAGGTGGTTCCTATGTTGTTATTGAGTGTTAATGGCTCTCATTTTGCTGCAGAGAGTCACTCTGGTTGAATAGTATAGGATGCAGACATGTGTTCATTACTAACAGGCACTTTTGTTATAATGGTCAGGAAGAAAATTTCCTCAGGACATTAAGAACTTCCATTAATTCCATTGCGGCTTCAACGTTTGATGAGTTGGAATGAGGAGTAGACACATTACTGCAATCTAGAAATGTTAAACATTCTGCAACGAAAGAGATCCCATCAAAGTTACTAAAAGGAAGGATTCTCCGTTGAAATATGAGGTGTTTAGAGTTTGCGTAAGTTATGTTTTATTGACCAACCACGGAGACTGTGGCGAAGAATGTTGAAAAATCTATGGTTTGAATTTTAGCTATCAATGATTTAAGCACACACGATAGAGATGTTGATCAAATACAATTCCAGGAACCAGGTGAGTCTGTTCCAATTTCGGTTGTTAATTCTGCTACCAATGAGTACATTCTAGATCATATAGAGTCTACATCATACACACAGTCGGACAGATACATGATGAACCTAAGGAGAAAAAGTACAACCGATTACAGAAATTCGGATTCCGATTGAGGCTGATGTGGTTGTGGCATTTTTACGAACTAATGATTACTTTGTGTGAACGAAGAATATGCTTTTCAGTAATTTCTCATCAAGTTCTACAATTATCTCATATCCAAATTAATAATCCACAAAATTGGTCAGATTTAAGGCAAAGTACATCATGTAAAATCATAACATCTGAACCAAAGATTGTTGTTTGTTACATAAAATCAAATCGTTAATATTAGCGTTGACTAATATGAAGTGTTAACTTGAATCAGTTTATAAGTGAAATGAAATTGTGAGATAAATAATGATCAGAATAAATATGGTCAACATGGAGTGTGAGAGAGAGAATGATCTAATTATAAATCGAAAATTACGTAATATGTAGAATAATATGAATTAGGTACCTTCTACTTGAAGTTTGTGCTCAAGATGTCGTTCAGAAGAACGATGAAAGCTCCACGACTAAACCATCCAGCTAAGAGAACAAAACTCCATCAAAAATGAATTGGGTACAAATTAGTAGATAGGGGTGGATACTGAATAAATTCCTCAAAATGGTTAGCAAGTGTTATAATAATACTAACAATAATAGTAATAATAATATTATGACAATGGTATGATGTGTGGATAAGTTTAGGACATAAAAATGAACATCAATCAAATTACGTCACCATATCATCAAAATGACTATTAACTAGTTAGGCTGAAAGTTGGATATCTGGTGACATTTATAAATTAACATTTAACCAATAAAAGAGCATAAGGAATGCCTAACTGTGAACAAAAAGCCACTGTATATATGCGCTTACAGTTCAGTGACGATGAACCTAGTGAAACGGTTGGACAGATCGATCCAAAGAATTTTTATTGCAGGCAAATGACAATTAATACTTTCTATGCATCCGATGATCACTTCGAGGTTGAAAGATAAATTACCTAGACTAGCCACTTCTTTCTGTATCTATCAATTCGACTGCTACTGTGGGGCAATTCATATTGGCAAGTGTCCTAGGAATTTGTATTTTTGGGCTGGTGAGCACCTCCCACTGTGGTTAATCAATGGTGTAGTTAAAACTGTTAACAACACCATTTTAGCTCATTTAATTCAAATATATTCGCCGTAGAACCCTGTTTAATTCTATTACAAATAGTTTTAATAGTGCGTAGATTTTTGTCCCATAACTAGTATATCGCCCCCAAATGCCTTGGTATGGCCGAGAGAGGGGTGGGCCCGCCCTCCCTCTCGAAATGCTCTCACACGGCCACGCGTATACAGCTTCTGCCAGGGAAGTCCTACTCACTGCCTTCTCGTGGCGAGGGTGTTGTTTACGAAATTGGGAGGACGAAAAGCGAATGTCCGGCGCTTTAACCGGATTCCAAACTAGTGGTGCACATGGGCTCCCGTATCCTGAGGGAACAAATGGCGTATGAACCAATCGTTGGTCACCGGCTGCCATGGGACTGCATCTCCTCACGATGCTCCACTGCCTAGTGGGTCAGACCTTCAGGTCAAAGGCTCCGGGGTGGACCCCTAAGAAAACCACCTGCTTCGGTTCGGGCACCCGGGCAGTATCCCAGCCCTCACACAAATCGAATGATTGATGTGGCGCATATGTATTTGGTGCCTCCTTGTACCAATGTATGTGTGTTTAAATAAATAAATAAAGAAAGAAAATCTATCACAATCATTAAAGCAAAACACAGATCCGTATGAAAGTAGCTTTAATAAAGAGATAATTATAAGTAATTAATATTCATTTGAGTTTATATACAATTTCTTTGAATATAATCAATAGGAAGGATAATATTTGGTTACTTTTCAGATTGTAAGATAACATAGAAAGAGAGAAATGAAAACTTCAATAATTAAATGTACTTAGATAATTTGCTTGCCATTTTTATTATTATTATTATTATTATTTGTAATCTGTGTATCATTTTACTTATGAAAGAAGTCACTAATTAAGTTGGTAATATTAATACTACTACTAACCATATGTAACACATTTACACTAGATCTGTGTTTGAGAAAGGTTAAGTGTGGAGGAAAAGACACTTTTTTATATGTTCGGTAGGTGCAATCCAATCATATTTGATTGAAGTGTAC